ATTGGCTTAAATTTAAAAAAAAATCTTCTCCAGACTCAGATAAGCTCGACACCCATTCTCTTCATAGATAGCCTAAGGATGTTCAACACCAAATTTAGTCAAAATCTGCCGTTCAGGACAAGTAGCGTTGAAAGAAAAAGGTTGACCGACGCTGTGGTACGGCATAAGCTCACCATGATCCTTCGGACCAAGCGAACTAAAATAAAACTGATCGGTGATAGCCCCCAGAAGGCCCAACATTGGCACCCATCCTTTGCTTATTTCGTTATCATGTTAAAATCATTCAAAACACACAGCACATACTAAAAGTATATATATTGTCGATACAGTGTATGCCTTTTTAAAAGCAAGCGTGTTATTTTAATCAATTTCCCAGTCAAACAAAGACCAGACATATTTGGGGCTCAATATATCACTTGAACCAAAATCAAAGCCCCATGCACGCCGGAGAAAGAGAGCCTAACTTGTTTCATATTGTCAAAAGGCCACTAATATGGGAGTCTCCCTTAAAATGCTCTCTAGGGGGACTCGAAAACAACTAAAATAATTTTGCAGCACACACCACAAAACTTGGGATCATTTTAGTCGCTCCCTTCTCTGACCATTGACTTTTCCTTGTGCCTGTCTTGACATTGGTGTTTAGCATCTTCCGAGAAATTAAAGTAAAGTAAAGTGTATGTTATATTATTTTGCCGAGACAAGCCAAAGTCGTCGAGATTGTCACTTGCTATACTTTGCTTGGAGTTCAGCTTAAATACATGTAGGTGGTACAATAGTAAGTACTGGTCAGTCTGTTGTCAGTTAAATGTGATCAGGTTGAATGTCATGCAACGGATTATGACAGTTTTTTGTTTTTAGCCTACTCGCGATTTCTAAAGTCATTTGGGTCGGATGCCAAGTTAAATACAGTCGCAGAGAAAGGAGAGACAGGGGTCCTAGAGTAAAGCGGGGATAGCAGATCAATATTAGATTTTCCCTTCTCCAGAAAACCAAAAAAGGGCCAAAGGCAACAACATTATTTGCGCCTAATTAAAAAAACAGGTTGAAAGCAGACCTTCGCAAGCGATGCTTTACAGGCAATTCCACTTATAAGGACAAGAAAGTGAAACTGGTGAGAAACCTCTTTTTCTGACACTTTCAAACAATACATACATCTATTGAACGTTATTTCTAGCTGTGTTTCATTACACCGTTCAATTGATCGTTCAAGTAGATATGTTTCATCTTTCTGTCGAATATCATATGGTGTTATATCCTTTCTTACATTGAAATAAGATCTGCATTATTCTAAGAGTGGTTAGCTGACATGTTATAAAAAATGTAGGAGAAAATCTCCGGACAAAAAAATGAAATACTGAATTGAACAAAGGGCAATAACTTTTGCAAAAATAGTCAAATCAAAATTCTTTTCATGTAGACACAACTTCATATCACGATTATTAAGCCTATTAAATGTCAAAGAGATCCGTCGAAAAATGTAGGAGAAGATTGCCGGACAAAAACTAAATACTGAAATAAACAAGGGGCAATAACGTTTGCAAGAGTTGTTGAATCAAAATTCTTTTCAAGGAAACACAACAACATATCATGATTATTAAGCCTACTAAGTTTCAAAGAGATCGGTCGAAAAATGTAGGAGGCGATTGCCGGACAAACAAAAGTTTACGCTGGACGGACGGACGGACAACGCCATACCATAATACTCCCGTCAAATTTTACGGGCGTATACAAATTGAAAAGAATATACAAAATACCCACATTTATTGATAGAGTCGCCTTTACACTCAAACCCTTTGATGGACGTTGTCAAGATTACAGGGATCTGACCTTGAATGTCGTAGTTGTCAAAGATTACCTGAGCAGGAATAATATACAATAGTCAGTTGCGTTCATAAACTTTGTTATTCATGACCTGTTAGAATGAATTGCTGACCAAACATTATTTATTCTAAACATATTTCCGCCTTTGATGATCTTCATTGTAACATAGAGATACATTATCTAAAAGTTGTAAAGGTTTACCTTGAAATACTAATTTCTCGTGGACAATGAACACGCAAACATATTTTCACAATTAAAAAGAAATTCCGAACTTTGATGATATGACTCCATAGTTCACACTTCCACTTGCAAATGGTCAAGGGACACCCAAAATATTTGACATTATCAAAAATATACTACTTTCGATAATTTTTGACCATTTTTGTAGCCCCGATTATCAAACAACCGTTGTTCAAGGAAATTATCCGAAAAGTTCAGGGAATTTTGCCTGCTAACGTTCTCTGTACCTTTGGAATGTCATTACAAAATTAAAGGCACGCAGTTATATATTTGATATCGTTCAAGTGAAAAACACTTACTAACCGTAACGGCCGATACTCGTTCTTTAAAGATAATATATGAGCGACGCTCAGCTTCACACCCGGTAAATCGTACCGTTACGCTGCCTTGCGATTATTTTTATGTACATCGTCAAGGTGGCACGTACAAAACCTTCGATTTCGTCATAACATATTTCAGGGATGCAGAGAAAAAGTGGCAATGAATATTTCCTATCTAACTATGGCAACATCGCACCGTGCAAATATAGATTTTATCGGTGAGGGAAAACATTGAATAGGCGGAAGGAATATTTCGGTATAAAAATCCGTTACTGTAAAGAAGTTAATCTCCAATAAAACTCTAAAATCACTTTTGATATGACAAGAACGTTTTCTTTTAAACAGAAAACCGCAATCTGAAATACTAGTACAGCGGCCAAAATATCTTATATAAAAATTGAGGTAAGGGGGCATAATGGACAACTTACACTCCCGATGATTTCAAAACATTCCGTCAGCCTTTCCTGTCGTCTCATATCCACGTGTATTGATGCCATGTTGAAGTCTAACGTCAGCTCCAAAAGTCTAAAAAAATCCAAACATCAAACATCTCACCGTATATTGTCTAACTTTAGCTACTTTGTACTGGGTTTCAAATCTTCACAGCAGTCCTGTAATATCAGGATTATGGTCCTGTTGGGCATTGTATAACCCAGAAGCGTAATTAGAGAAATGATTTTCAAGAAGTTAAATGATATTCTGATCAATCTTGAACACCATTTATAATCTTGAGAATGATTGAATTTTTAATGACAAGTGAACCCGGTTGTCAAGATTTTCCAGCAGACTGTTGTCATACCCATGGGAATAAACTGTGAGCTTATACAAGGAATTGTTTATCGATGAGTTTTTAAGACAAAGTTATAGAAACACTTGACATATCCTGCTGTTTAACTTTCAGATAATTCGACGATTGGAAATGTTTATATAACAAAGAATATGTTGGTCATGTCGGCCTGGTTTCGTGAGAAAAGTCGAATGTTGGCCGGCAAACCTAAACAAGAGGCCGAAATTGTTAGCGAAATTGAAGATGAAATAGCCAGTTGTTGCTGTACATGTATTACATGGTTAGTAAGAGGTTATATTTATATGCAATTGGACAAAATCCTGTCATTCCTACAGGAAAAGGAGGATTTTGAAGAATTTGCTATGTTTCCACTTTTGGGCCCCGCCCCTCTGCCCCCAGTGGGGTCAGACCCACCGTTGATACAAAATTAGTTCCCCTGTACCCAAGGATGCTTTAGACCAAATATGGACATAAACCTGACATTCCTACAGAAAAGGGATTTTAAAGCTTTTTTCTATTTTCCCTATTTGGCCCCGCCCCTCTACGCCAGGGGGTCCCAACGTTTATACAAAATATAGACCCCTTCACCAAAGAATGGACAAAATTCTGCTATTTCTACAGAAGGAGAAGAATTTTAAAGAATTTGCTAAATTACCCCTATTGATTTCCCTTCCCCCCGTAAGATGCTACTGTTCAAATTTGGTAAAAATATCTTCATACCAACGGAAGAAAAAGGATATTGAAACTATTCCTCTATATCCCTTATTGGGCCCGCCTCTCTGGCCCCAGGTGGGCCAGACCAACTGTTTATACAATGTTGGTTCCCCTTCACCAAAGGGTGCTTCATACCAAATTTGGACAAAATACTGATGATCCTACAGAAGAAGGATTTTGAAGAATTTGCTCCATTTCCCCTATTCGGCCCATCCCCTCTGCCCCCAAGGGGGCCACACCCACCATTTATACAAAATTGATTCTCCTTGGCGTATGAATGCTCCAGGCCAAATTTAGTAAAAATCTACATGACAAATCAAATTCTGAAATAAACACAGGGCAATAACTTTTTTCAAAAATTGTTGAATCAAAATTCTTTTAAGGGAGACACAACTTCATATCATGATGATAGTGTATACCACGTTTCAAAGAGATCCGTTGAAAAATGTAGGAGGAGATTGCCGGACAAAAATCAAATACTGAATTAAACAAAGGGCAATAACATTTGCAAAAATTGTCGAATCAAAATTCTTTTCAAGAAAACACAACAACATATCATGATTATTTAGCCTACTATGTTTCAAAGAAATCCGTCAGAAAATGTAGGAGTAGATCTCCGGACGAAAAATCAAATACTGAAATGAACAAAGGGCAATAACTTTTGGAAAAATTGTCCAATCAAAACTCTTTTAAGGGAGACACAACATCATATCATGATTATAATATATACCAAATTTCAAAGAGATCGGTCGAAAAATGTAGGAGGAGATTGCCGGCCAAACAAAAGTATACGCCGGACGGACGGACGGACAAACCCATACCATAATACTCCCGTCAAGTTTGACGGGCGTAAAAAAACCTCCTTGTAATTTGAGAGAGTTTAGTATAAAGTTTCCCTGAGTACATATTTGGCCATAGCGTCATGGTATCATTTTAACTTTGAAGTACGGTTTATACCGTATTGTCTGTTTATTTATTTTCAAGTAACTTTATTTGCTAATGTTAATCTGTTTTAGTCATGTTTCTATCAAGATATCGTAAATACATGAAAGTTTAATTTATTCAGCCTTCATCAATTTGTTCGCCCAAAAATCAAGGATTTTTTTTTCTTTTCTTTTCTAGCTGCGAATAAAAGGATGCTGAATTATTAAATCTCAACTGTATTTGAATTCACGAATATTACTTATATTTAGTGTCGAATTACAAATGTATCTCACAAATGTTGTGGTGTACGTTATCTGAAAATAATTATTTAACACGTTTATAGTTTAAAGGAATATTTTGTAGTGTGTTCCCTGTACACGCCATTTTAAAGGCTTCGCTAAACAATTTAGGTAAAAAACAACAATGGCATTAGTAAATTCATTACAAGATTTAAGACAGGTTTGTTTTTTCCGAGATGGTACTGGACATATTTTATTTTAACTAGGATATCAATATACATACCTAGGGTATAATATGAATACTCGTTTAAAATTACAATGAATATGTTGGGATAAGCCAATCATTTTTGGAACTATAAATGAAACACCTACCTAACTAAAACACCATTCTCACTTTTTATCAGGTCATCGAGGCTGGGGTCAAGGCCATAGTTCGTGGTGTTTATTCCAACATCCTTACACTCTGTATAAACAATAACGGTAATATTTTTTGGTCATCATCATCATCATCGACATCATTTTTATATGGGTACAATATGGAAAATGGTATTTTACAGTGGTTACATAACTTTAGAAATGCGAGAGATATGGTAGCATAACGCCTTACAAGTAGGAATTGCATGCTTCGCGGGAAATGCAAAGGCTTTGTTTTGTTCTCGTATTAAAGAGTGAACTATGACCTCACAAAGACACCCGATCTGTGGATCACTTTTGTGCTCCCTACTTTGAAACACAAAAGCGACCAAAATAAATCTGCATTTAGGGGAATGACAACAACTGGTTTGTCAGTATTATGTGACCGGACGGAATAATATGATCTGTGTCTACAAAGTCGGCATCAGATCTGCGCTTTCAAAAAGAGGCAATTACACCAAAAAACCTGCACACGACCACGCAAGCATGCATGCACAACACACATGGAGACACGTCCATGTGACTTTAGCTTTTGATAGGACGTTTAACAAAATAAAAACAAACCAAACCAATCCATGAAAATGAAAGTTGTCCTATTATATTTTCATACATGTAACATACAATATTTTTACACTCGGGATATTCAAATTTGGTCAATACCTCGACATTTCTCAATTCTCGAATGTTTTCCCAATTTGAAACCCCGCAGGTGGAATCTCCCTGGCCTAATTCTTGGGCTTAAACGAGTGATACCCTTATCACAGTTTATATATCAGTTCATGATAACAGTAAACAAATAGTCTCAATAGAGAGTAACAGATTAATTGCAGCCATACTTACGTTTTCTCTTGTTTCGGTCAATCGTTATAGCCGAATGCTGGGACGTTCTGTTAAAGATTCCGGATTTGTAATAAGTAGCGCAGATACGCAGTGGATTAGTGACGTTGTCATTATTAAGAAAAAACGACCCAACGGCTGTCGTTGGGAGAGAGTGAATCTGAAAGAAAACACATCTACTTAAAACGTATGCATGTGTATCGTAAAAGGCGACTAATGTAGGTCCCCCTACAGAATCGGGGTATTTTTTCGTGTCATTTACGAAAAGACCATGGGGGAGACCAAAACTGATCTTCTACCGGTATCTTAATAATTTATTGAGAGCAGATCAAGTCAAGTCAATAAGTCATAATGCGGAGCCGGTATTTCTAATGAATTCGGCATCTCTCGTCACAGGTTAATTAGGGCTTTTCACCAACTGGTGAAAATACCTTTTGTTTTTGTTATGTTTCTTATTCTTATTCTTCCGTTCTTGTGGAGTCTGTATCTTTTGATTGGTAGAAGATAGGTTTATAGTCGTTTAGGTATGTTGTAGGCCAAGCTCTAAAGATGTTCCATGAACATTTCCAAGTATGTAAAAAATCCAATATGGCCGCCATGACGTCATACCTCAAAATTTTAAAATGGCTATAACGCAAACACAGTTGAATATACAGCCTTTATATGGGACATTATATGTAGATAATCTTCAGGGCTTACTTTTTTCCATTGTATGTCATTACTTAAAAGGTCAAATAAAAAAGCTCGCTGTAGGGTCAAAGGTCACAATTTTTAAAAAACATTCATGTTTCATTTTTTTGGAAGAATTCTTCAACAGATCGATGGAGAATGTCATTCCGATGAATTTGATGTATTAAGTTTTTCTGTAACATTTGCCGTTAACGTTGTACGCCATTTTGAATATTTCCTCTGATCTTTTGAAATTCTGACAATATGTTAAAACTTGTTTTACTCCAATATCGATGATAAATATTTCGTTTAGTTGTTACTGAAAAGGTTTCCCTAGATGTCCACTAACATTTGGTAACATTTACAACTTCATCGAAAAAACAAAATGGCCGCCATGACGTCATATCCAATATTTTCTTAAATTGCAATACCTCATTAACGGGTTATTGTATTTAATTCATATTTGGATATGTTGTCCAGGAAATATTTTTGAGTAAAATGTCAACTTCCGGTTTTTGGTAGGAGTCAAAGTTCGAATGTGTAAACTTCAAAAATCTTCTTCTCAATAACCAAGTAACCCAAGGTCATGATATTTGTTGAATATCATGATCAAGCATTGAACTATCAAATTTGATAATATGAATGACCTTGGCTCATGTTCAAGGTCACCGAGTTCAGTTATGTTAAAATCTTGCTCCTGCTCAATAACGGAAATGCACAGGGTATTGATATTTGGTCTATAATAAGCTTGGGGGATGGGCTACCACGTGTATGCACAAGAATGACCATTTAAGGTCAACTTCCGGTTTTCGGTAGGGGTCAAAGTTCGAATGTGTAGTTCTGTGAAACAAACTTCAAAAAAAATCTTCTCAAAAATCAAGTGACCCAAGGTCATAATATTTATTGAATATTCATGTTCAAGCAATGGACTATCAAGTTTGATAATATGAATGACCTTGACCCATGTTCAAGGTTGCTGGGGTCAGTTATGTTAAAATCTTCTAAAGACTCCTTCTCAATAACAGAAATGCCTAGGGTATTGATATTTGGTCTGTAGCATGCTAGGATGATGGGCTACAAGGTTTATGGACATAAATTACCATCAAATATTAACTTCCGGTATTTGATAGGTCAAATTTGAACATATGATTTTGTGGAAAAAAATCAAAGATACCAGAACTATTTGCGAGTTACTTCCCTTCCAACAGTAGTAAAATGGTTCACCTACAAAATTTTTATAACCCAAAGTAAAAGTTAAACACCTTTTTTTGTCCTGCTATTTTTGAGTACTGCTACATTTTTTGAATTGATTTATCTTTTAATCAAGTAACATTTCAAAATTTAGAATGTCTTTACCTCAATGGTGTGATATAAGTGAAAAGCCCGTCAAATTGTTTGCCAACAATTTCTAGTTATTTGAATTATTGTTAATATTATCAATGATTAACGGCCCATAAACACAGGATAGATCATAAGGGCCAACAAATGTTCGACAAAAAAAGTTAATAAAAACATCAAACCAAACTGAAAGGTAAAAGACAAACGTTAAATTGAATATTGAAAGTGGCTATGGTGACTTAAATTTTATTAAAAAGGCCAACAGCTTTCAGATAGCCTAAAATTGAAGAGACATTTATGTTTTCGAAAAGAAATTTAAGACATGTAATGTTATTATAGAAAATTTCTCGAGTTGACTGAAAGTCGATACAATCTAGTAACAAGTGCTTTACTGTAAATGGTTCCTGACACGCTATATGCATTGAGGCTGGATTTCATGTTTTAATAAATAACAATGGGTAATGTATGAATATACCGTCCGAAGACGGGAAAGGACAACCTCGTCTCGGCGTAATTATTTAAAATGTATTTTTAACATACCAATTGCTGATATAAATCGATCTGGTATTTCATTTTGGAAGGGATTCTAAACAAAAACTAATTTTAATACATACCCCCTCTACAACAAACTGCACATGTTCCTTGAGTTCATCAATAGTGTAGACTGCGTACGTGCCAGTGGTGGGTGGGTATGGCATGGTCTCATAATCCTTGGACCAATTCCGCAACAAAAGATGTTTCAGGGCAATGTTGTTCCGGTTCAGGTAGGTAGCGAAGTGCGACCGCTCGTTGGCAAACAGTACTAGCTAGTACACAAAATAATAAGTTATACACTATTTGAACGATTATTCTTCGGAAAGTTTTATCTCCCGATCGTTTTGTTATATTTCTTTTTCTTTCTTTCACATCTAGGGAAATAATCGACTTTGATAAAAAGAATAAAAAATTTTATAAACAAAAAACACCACCAACAACGGTGTTTTGTGGATAAAAAGAGAACGGGCTAAGACAAGGATGCGAACCCTAGACTCTTTTATCTTGGGACTGTTAATAAAACAAACTGGGCTATCTAGTCAACGATAGTTCAGTAGTCGCGCTACCGTTATATTTGAAACAAAACTAATTGGAGGTTACTGGAAGTACGAAAAAATGCATTGCTTACAGTGGGACAGGAACCCTTAAAAGTAAGGGAAAGGTTTGAAAATCGAATCGAGCAACTCTACCTGAGCAGTGATAATCGTCAAACTGATTAGGTGGACTATCATCTTGAGAGGAATTTTCTTCCACCATCTTTCCCCCTGGAAACAGCGTGAAAAGGTATGACTGAAATAAGTCCTCAGTTCCTGTTTCAGTTCATCCCCCTCTTTTGTATGCGTTGGCAGAATTGAAAAAGCAAAAGTAAAACGTTAAGAATTATTGACCGTAAAAAATTAAGCTTCAAATTATCTACAATTCTCTTGTCTACTTGTGTCATAGTGCTAGAGAACATGAAGTATGTTTACAAAAGCCTGCAGTGATAATCTTGAATGTTCAAGGTTTTTGTTAAGATATAAAAAGTTAAACGGCGAATCCTGTTTCCTCAATGAATTAGGAAGGCGCAAAATGAAAATAACTGTGTAGCCATAAACAGTAAAATAATATCCGGGAGTTACCTTTTTAAATCTCATGCATTTGTACAGTCCTCACATTCATGACTTAAAACTTCAATCAGTAGTGTTACTTTCGTTATTTTTTCTCCCTTCATAATAAGGGCATATTTATTATGACAGCAAATATCAGATCATAACATTCTAAAAACATAGTTATTACATCACAGAGTCGGTTTAATCTAAACATGCTTGTATTTTGACAAATTCAAATTTAAAATTTGAACTCAAAATCGATACAACTTAGTTAAAATATTGACATATGAAGGATTTACATGGAAGCCCTTGAAAAAGTATAAGGTGAATAAAACCAATGAGAGTAAACGTCTTCTGCTTCATCAAAGAAATCTGTCGTATGCATGTACATCTACGTAATCCAAGTAATGTCACACGGAGAAATTTGGTAAATGAAAACAAAACCACAAGCCACACTTATGTCAAACCGGACGAATTTTAGTTAACGGTTACTCGAAACCTTTTCCGACCGAGTAACCGGTTAATCGGTCAGTTCGGTAATTAACAATATAATGTGTAAATTTTCCATTTAAAATTAATTCACACTTCATATATATTAGTTTTTCGCGAAAAGTGACTCACGCATTTTAAGTTCTCAACACCCAAAAGCAGGAAATATATAAGTACATTTTTAACATCGGTCGGCATAAAGTGTAACACAAGTTATTTCTCAGTTTCCATAGTTCTTGACACACAATTATCAAACAGCCTCCTCTTTCCTTTACGTAAGGAAAATATAAAAGCGAAAACAAATTGCCTACACCAACATGTGCCCGAATAAGATACCTTAATATATACTCTACCTGGATTTGAAGTAGTATTCGTGAAGTCCATCATCTCGGTACCCTCTGTCCCCATGTTTCCTGTCTGCATGTTTAGAGTGTCGTCTGGCGATAGCGTTGTTTTTCTATAATGGTGGGATGACGACGGCCTACGTTTATATCAGGCGAATGTTTAAGGTACTGATAACGTCCTACAAAGTAGTGTGTTGTTTGGGTTTTAACGTCCTAGCATCCTCGATATTTCATTATCGCTCTCTGTATCGCTGGAATATGTGATAGCAAAATCGAAGGCACGAAACTAGCTTTTTGATTGGTCTCAAGTAAAAATAAACCTGACCAATCGCTAGGCTGATACCTGTCCTTTGCAGTTTACAAAGGAGCGACACCCGACTATAAAGCCAGTCAATTTTATCGTTATGCGACCGCGAGATTCTTTTGATGTACATCAAAGGTTCGAACTAGTCTTCTTGTCTTATCCACAAGGTGGCTCACACTGACCCTTCGATTTCGCTATGCTATATTCCAAGGGTGCAGAGAGAGAAAGTGAGCGTAACCACTGGAGTATCTAGGATGGCGTCCTAGCATCAGTTACATAATGTATGCTATATGAAGACGGGTGCATACAGACGAACAGAAGGGTAGGGAAAAGAGAAAAGAAAAGAAATTGTTCCCAGGTGTTGCAATGGGTGCTGCAGATCGGGGGACAATATATAAATGATCAGCGCACAAGCTAGACTGGGACACACACCGACTAGGCTATCGCAGACGATACCCCATATCACCAAACAACCGACTTCTTAAAATTAGACACACGTTTACAAGATAGTTCTGATGAAGTTTGATTTGAAGCATTTCCCGGAAAGTATAATATACACACATTCCAACATTTTGCTTACAAGTGGGGCAAGTACAGTAATAGTCTTTGATAGGAACTGTGGATCATACTGAATCCAGACATTGTATTTTGGTTGTGTAATTATGTCTAGAATGAATCTTACCCCTGAGCAAACCAGTTGAATGTTGATGCACTCAAACCTCAAATTCACCCGAGGAAGTAAAATGTTCCGCTATATATCCTGCTGCGTGTTAAACAAGTTCGTGACATACTGTGTACAAGTTTGAAACTGAAAAGAATTATATAGTAGTATAGTATAAGAAACTAGACAAAGACACTAGACAATGTAAAAAATATTAATGAAGATGAAAGGAGAGTGTAGTCATAAGACAATAAGAAATAAAAAATGAAATCAGCAAGACAGGCCAAGTTGGAAGGAAAGCTTGCAAGGCAGCCAGACAGCAAATGTGTGTAGTGAGCAAAGGGTGATATTATGTCTTCAGTCAACGAGATTTTTATATAATGGAGTGTTGGATAAATACTGGGGTATGTCATTAAAGGTGTAATTAGCTGCGTTCATCTAATGCGATGATGATTATGATGATGATGATGTTGTGTTGTTGGTGATGATGATGATTTACCCTCTTTGACGTTATATATATCACATACTCCATATCATCTATTCGTTATCTCTTTTATCATTTTAACCCCCTTTTTATTGTTTTTTTAATCTACACACGATGCGAAAAAATAAATCACTAATGTTAACAATAACCTAAAACTATTTTTTAGCTCACCTGGCCGCCACAAAGGGCCATGTGAGCTTATGCCGTATTGCGGCCGTCGTCCGTCCGTCAACTTTTTCTTTTGAACGTCTCCAACTGTAGGACCTAGGGTCATGCTATTTAGTTAGTAGGTACCTCGGATGGAGTGCTATAACGTTTTCTTATTAAAATGACATTGATCTACTTTCAATGTCACAGGGGTCAAATATGTTAAAAACCATAAACAACAATATCATAAGAATCACTTGGCCAGAGTCATGATATTTGGGTATGTTATGAAGACCAGCAGTGCAATTTATTTTCTTTATTACAGTAATGAGGTCAATTTAAAGTGCTAGTCGGGGGTCAAATGACAACATGGGTAAAAAACTTTAACAATCTTCTTCTCAAGTTCCATCAGGCCCAGGGTCATGATATTTGGCCTGTAGGTACCTTGAATGAAGTGCTATAAAGTCTCCTAATTAAAATGACATTGACCTAGTTTCAAGGTCACAGGGGTTAAATATGTTAAAAACTTCAAACAACAATATCCTAAGAACCATTTGAACTAGAGTCATGATACCTAAGTATGTTATGAAGACCAGCAGTATGAATCTTTATTTTAATAACGGTAATGTGGTCAAAGGTCAACTTTCAGTGCTAGTCGGGGGGGGGGGGGGGGGGGGTCAAAGGTCAACTTCGGTTAAAAGCTTTAAATTTCAAATTTCAATATCTTAAAAAACGTTTAAGAGATGTTAAAATGTCTTTTGTTCTAGTAACCAAATTTGGTCTAAAGTAATCTATGTCAGTTTCATGTAACAAAAGAAACGGGTGGGTGATACAGGCCGTCTGGGCCTCTTGTTAAAGACTTACGAAGATGAGACATCTAAGAAAACTTATAAAAATAGACTTTGAATGTTTAAGTGCGATTTTTTTTGGTTGCTATTTTTAATGGATTGTTGTCATGGTAAGCCAGTTGATTTTTATATTACTGACTTAAAACATACAAAATACATATTAAGGGAATGTTTAGTGTCTCCACAATCATACTTTGAAACATCTACAAAAACTGGGGTACAAGCCCTTTCTGCCTTTTCTTTACAAACTTTAAAATAATAATATCGCTTTCTGAAGTGGTTTCGCCTGAACATTAAAATTGCAAAGTTTGAATAAAATCCATGCGTGGGCAGATTAAGAACCCCACCTTTCTGTGGTCTCTGTTCGTGAGCTCGCTCATATTCGCTCTAGTTTGATCGAGGTTTAACGTCCCTGCAACAGCCATTGTCATATGAAGACGGGCGCCTGGGGAATTGCTTACTGACAAAGATATTATAGGAAGGAAAGATAGGAAAATAAAAGAAGGAAGAGGCCAAAGTACAGCAATGGGAGCAAGCAGATCAATTTCATCGGTTCAATGTTCACTTTAAAGAAGACTAATTCAATTTATGCTCACTTTATAGTGCTATCTCACTGACATACCATCCGAAGGCACCAAGCACGGCATTCCGCCAGTTCACATTATACTGACAACGGATGAACCAGTTGTAGCTATTCCCCTAAATGCTGAACGTTAAGCAGGGAATAACAACTACCATTTTTAAGTACTTTGGTATGTCCCGGGCTTGGGACAGAACCCATTGACTTCCTCACCTAGGCGAACGCTCAAAATTAAGGCCAAACGTGAGGTGTTGCAAAGCAAGGCGCTAGGTAATAAAAGGTAGTCAGAATTAGAAAGAAAGAGAAAGATTCCAAATATTGCGATGGGGCAGCAGATTTACTTTGGTCGCATTTGTGTCCCCAAATAGAGAACACCAAAGCAAATCACCAATTCTGCAGGGGGTTCGCTGATTAGTTGCCTCCTACGATACATACTGTGGGAAACATCAGGTGTATTATTTTTCCGATCCCCCACCTGCAGGGATGGGTATGTACTGTGTTTTCCCAGATAAACGATATACTAATTTAGTAATCAAATTTCTTAAAAAAAAATGCAATATGACTACAGATTTTAAATTTCGACCAATAGGTCACTTGCTCTTCAGGAAATGACCCAACTGGTATTAAAATACATAACAAATGAAAACTTTTAAAGATCTGCACTTCATTCTCGCTGAAATAAAACATTGACTCTTTTTATTGTTTATTGTTTTCACCTTTTATTGTTTATTGTTTTCACCACTTTGGATCATTTTTCCTCAGTTTACTATAAAAGTACGGTAAGGTATGATTTTAAAGTGATTTAATCAGCAGTATATAATATTTTAACCCACCACTATACAAATACTTACCCTATATTATATGTTATCGGGGCACTTGACGTCAATATGCTGCAGGCAAAGTGCATTTTTCTATACCTGTATTCAAATATTATCTTCTTATCTGAAAGTATATTTACCAACAACAAGGAGGCTGTTTCCGAGAAAAGTCGTGACACAATGTGGTTGGCCTAAATTTTAGAGGTGCAATCATCTGTATGTGTTTCAGCACGATCAGCACAACACTGTTTAGGTCACCTGAGCTTAAGCTCAAGTGACATATTTCTATCCGTGCGTCGTGCGTTTTACATATTCAACTTAAGCTGAAATACTGTCAAAGGGATTTCACTGATACTTAAGAAATAATCAACATATGTGCGTGCATTATGGTGGAATATAAAAAGGGGGTGAGAAAATGTTGGTAAAAATAATTAACGAAGGCCGCTTCGTCCCGAGTTAATCATTTTTTCAACATTTTCGAATCCCGAGTTATATATTCCACCATAATGCACGCACATTAGTTGATTATTTTTGTTCTACCACGTCAAATGTAACTAATGGTAAAGTTTTGCTGTCTTATAAGGCGACATGACCTAGATAATTCGATATGCAAATTAGACGCTGTTCTTTTGCGCGTGCAAGATTTATCACGCTATCGTGTTGCCTCGTTTTAACTTGATCAATGTCGTGCCAACATTTCTCAGTGCGTAGGGTTTGGATTCCCGAATTGCGGTTACTTTTAAAACCATCATCATCACACCGATTTCAAGCGGAAGTGCTAGTGATACAACATCATACGATAGGCCTGGCATGAGTGTGCATATTTAGTTGGTTGCCATGACGTGATGGAAAGTCGCTGACCGGCTGATCATGATGCGACCTTCACCTTCACCGACTTCACCGGACAGCTGTGTTTTGCAACCACTGTTCAGACCGATGCTACTTTTTGCAACATTGTTCTTCACACATGGTATGCACACTGTAGGCAAATGCTCGACATCACTTTGATGTTTTGAAAGCAGACGACATTTTGCAGACCAGAAACAACTGAACAGGTGTGATGTCAGATACGATGTTTATTTCAATCAATCAAACATTGGCACGCTATCGACATCGTTCGTCAAAACATGAAATCAACGCTTGACAGTACATACACACACTGCACACATTGTGAAATGTACGGCACTACCAAGTGAAGTAAAAACAGAAGTAATTAATAATTTACCATTTGGCTTCAGACCTGCACATT